ACTGAAAAATTTCATTTTTTTCTGAAAAGATGGTGTCTATTTACTTGTGACCACGCTGTGTATATATATGTATGTAAAATATGTAAACATCTGATAAGTAATAGGCTATGACTCAACAAGCTAAGTTTTTTACTTTTTGGAATGAACAGTTGGTCATTTTGAAGTCTGTAAGTAGGAGTATAATTCCAAGACTTGTCTATAAGCAGGGGGGGGGGGGACTTTCAGGTCTAAAAATTAATAAAAAAAACCTTGGTTAATACAGTACTTAACAGACAATCTTTAGATTATTTGACATTATCTTAAAATCACAGGTATAAATAATGAGTATCCTGCTTGGCTCCCTCATTGTAGAAACAGCCCTAGTTTCAATGTTTAACACATGCATACATACACACTGTGTATGCATAAATAATTTCTTGCACAAATAAATTATCTATCTCTAAACAATACACAGGACATTCATCCTGCCACCAAGATTAAAAACAGGAAGTTTTTTTTTTCCATTCCAGTATTAATAACCAGAACATTATAAAAAGTCATAAAAGGAACATCTCCTTATACAATTGTTATCACAAGTTCTGGTTACACTTTTGCAGCATTCAAAAATGATGCATGCTTTCACATCTGTCACTGTAAAAATCATGCATGTTTCATGTTTTTCTTGTTTGTTTGTTTTTTATATTACTACTAAAGTACATTACATAGACAGATTGACACTTGAATCAAACTGAATAAGCAAGCGACTGTATATTTTCTATAGTGTGCATTATTCTAGTTTTTGATCCTGGTGGGAGGGTTACTTTATTGTTTACTTTAACTGATTATCAGTTTTCACCCCCACAAACTGTAACTTGGCTTGTTTTAAGACTTTTTTCCTTTTCTAAGCATTCTTTAGGTTGTCTTTTTTCTTTTATAAGTCTGGTCTGCTTCACTCATTCTTTGTGAAATCTAGTTATGCATACCAGTGTTTGTCGAAGGAAGAAGAGAAAGAGAATATAAGTGTGTGAATAAAGTTTGTTTCAAAAAATATATGCAACTCCAAAATAATGAGAAGGTGGACGATAATAATAACCCCCGTAGACTCCCACTGGAGCATAGGGCCGCAACAACACCTCGCCGACGGAAGTTGTTGTTGCAGTAATTTTAAGCAGGTTGGTTTTTACGGGGCAGAGTTGTTAGCCCAGCGCCCAACCCTCCTCCTTGCTCATCCTGGACTTGGGACCAGGCAATGGTGGTGGCATCCCTGTCGGAGAACGAACCCAGTACCTTTGGATTAGAAATCCAACGAGCTATCCACTGCGCTATAGGGACACTGAAGGTAGAAGATATTGTAGGAAATCATTTCACAAGCACCCTCTGGCATAACTGAAATAGGTTCAATATTAAAAATATATATTATACCTGAAAATAAAAAATGAGACCAGTAATAGTCTCATCACAATTAGGGATAGTACTGTAGCAAACTAAACCAGTTTTGCAGACTACAAGAGACTAGGTCTCAGCAAAAAACATCCTTCATCAAAAACAAAAGAAAAAGTGTTATATTAAATTAAACATCCATAATACCAACCAGGAACATCAGTATACAATGGCATGATTACTTTCAACTATTAGCACTGACAATTTTATCTTGCATGCTGTAGGAAAATTATATACGTAATGCCTCTAATGAAGATATACAAATTCTAATAATGGTGAATACAGTTGCATCAAAGAAGAATGTCATAACAAAGTTACCAGAATGAAACAAGAAAGTCTAAACTTTGTAAAATGCACTTACACCTGACAATAAGTCAGACTAGAGAATTACACAAGTCTGCAAATTTAAACTTCATAAAAGTTATTTTGGTTTTAAAGACAATTTTCCATAATTCAGATACACAGATTTTGAAAATAATATTATTGTTTTTTCTATCCTGTAGGGAATTTTTTTACAAATTGGGAAGAAAAAAAAAGCTCTTAATTAGCTCAAATTATTATTTTGTTTAACACAATCATCGATTTTTATTATTATGTTTGGGTATAGAACGATCGATAAGACTCTCCCATCGCAATTGGTCTAGAGTAATCTACAGCCAGTGGTTGTCAACATTTTAAGCATAACAAAATGTGACCTTATTTCAATGAAAATGGTTCACTTATGTAAAAGTACATATGATGTTTTTTGAAAAATCTGTATGTGATGGAGAAAAATAGATATCATTTTCAGATTCAGCATACAGAAATTACTGTAGAACATGTAAAAATTTCATCGCAGGCCTGTGGTATTGGTGACACATGCTCTACAACATATAAAGAGCATCAGAAAATTTTTGGTCATGTTTTATTGACAGCATGAGTTCAAACTCAACAAGGAAATGTTTTTAATATCTCAGAGGAAAGTCTACCTGGTTTGAATATGTCATATGATATAAATAAAACATATATTTCAATTAATTACAGGGTATTTCATCTAAACATATTTCAATTTCTTTGGAATGAAAGGAGTAGGTTAGGGTAGATTTTTTTTTCATAGCAAACAAATAATATTACTTCACTGTAGCTTTGTAGGTAAGAAGCAGAGGCACCAACACTTCAAATGAAAATTATTTCTTTTTTTACATGATGGTGAATATTTATTTCTGGAATAACATTATACTAAATTTTATATAAATCAGAATTCATAATGTGTTAAATCCAATATTTATTTTGTTATTTGTCATTAAATGACTTTGTTGTACACTTTATCAAAATTGAGAATTAATCCTGTCTATAGTGTAAGATAAACTGATAGCATATGAAAGCAAACTAAAAACAAATTTTCACTGATGAAAATAATATGGGGTTATGTTGTTTCTTATGGATATTTATGTACCACTATCAAGAAACAAGGGAATTATTAATACTCCATGAAACAAGAAATGTCATAATGTTCAAGTGGTTGACTAATGAATGTGATGGTCAAAAGGCCTTTTCTCAGGTAAATATTTTCATGGTGCTTAGGTGATTGACTGATGATCTTTAGTGAGCTGCACAGATGACTGCCATATATTACTAACAATAAAAAGTAAAACTGTTCCTTAACAATATTTTAGCAGTTTATCAAACTTGTTTATCTCACATACTTCAATTGGAAAAATAACTCTCAACTGAAAATAACAGCTTTTAATATATGATTAATCTTCAAGAATGCTTTTTGAGTTTCTAAAGCTTAAACAAATTTAGACCTGGTAGTGCAATACACACGCATTAAAGTCCTAAAAAACAACTACTAGCATTTGTACATATTAAACCAGGGTATATTTTTTTTATTCATGTATACAGAATCAAACTATTCTGAAGCTAAAACTTTCCCATCTTTAACCATTTTATGTCTTTTTCAAACTTATGATGGAAAAACAAATATTCAAGCTTTGGAAACAAAATAAGCCATGTTACTTTAAAATGGCATAACTAATAAAAGTCCAAAAAATACATAACAGTAGCAAGAAGTTTCAAATTATAAAGAATGCATGTAAAGATTGAATTGCAACAGACACATACATGCACACACACACACACATATTTTAAGTTCAACAAAGGTAGCAAACAAAATATTTCATGCAGTTAAGATGACAAAATTTCATACAATTACAGCAGTTTGTTGCTTTTTAGATAGGAAAATTTATTAATACAATAACCATTTTTTAAAAAGCACCACACCACCAAATAAAATAGTAAATGCATTACTGAGCTTAAAATGACATCATCCATCTTGTCTAGAAGATGTGTTTTTTTTTAATGTTCCAACATTTATAATAATTTGCTGCTACATAAAATAACCTCAAGATTAAACATTATACTGCATTCTGGGTGGAAATAATTTAGAAGCCAAGTTTATCAAATCAAAAATAGTCGCTCACTGCAAACATGAAAAATATAGAACATTAAAAAAAAATACATTTTTATTATTATTTCGATGAAGTTTGGGTTGATAAGATTAAGCTTTAGAAGCCCACATTCTTAATATTATATGAATATATTTCTCCATTAATTATAAGCTGATGAGGTGTTTTATAACAAAAATTTATCTATTTTTTCAAAATATCACTGTTCTTTTCATTCCAAAAGTACAAGCAATTCATTTTAAAATGTCCATACCATAAAAGCATAACTACACATTTTGAACAGAAACTCATTTTTGATATTCTGACCTATTCATTAATATTACCAAGGTCCTATTGAATAAAGAAATAGATTCTCAAAACCATTTTAGTATCACCACAGAGTTCGATAGGGTTAGTTCAAGAAGCAACATATCATAAACAACTAAGGTTCCAAAGCAGAACTCAACCTTACCAATTTAATTTAATTTTCAAACTGATAACAAGGGGCCATTTGGTTCATTAGAGTATACCATTTTCTACTACCAAATAACATATAGAAACATTTAATCTTATAGCCAACTTTGATTTATAAAATACTCTTTCAATTCTTCACTTAATTCCCTTAATGTTGTATCTTCTACCACACCTGAAGGTAAACTACATGAGAGAGCAAGTTTTCCATATCTTAAACTTGTGTTTGGATGTCTGCAATCTTTTATGAAAACATCATTATAGATTACAACATTCTAATAGCCTTAAAAACTTTATTTGTGTAATCATTTTTTTGCTTTATACCACAAAGCAATTTTCTATCATTTTCTCTAATACAGAATTAATACATTAATTAATTAATACATAAAGGTAACAATTTTCTACAATCATAATGAGAATCAACTTTCAAAGGGCCTAAAACTAACATAAATTATAATACCTTTATTAACATTTTCCACAAACAAATTAGCCATATAATGTTACTTTCTCAAAATATATTCATGTTTAGGGAAGTCAGGCTGCTTATTAAGTTTGGAGGACATGGACTCATATAAAAAAATCAGAGGCTGTTAAAATGAACAACCTGAACAAGAAAGTGAATTGAAACATTTTCTAATCACTAATTTGCCAGGCAGGTTGTTCTCTTGAAAAACTTTCAACTGTATATACAATCTCCTACTTTCAAACTAAACAAGAAATGGTTATTTTGGCAAGTAGAAGGCTTGTTGAAAAAAGTATCTTTATAGGTGTGGGGGATAAGTTGGCTCACTGGATAGAAAAATGCTGAATGGAAGAAAGTAGAGAGTTGTTATAATGGATTAATGTTACAAGTGAGGTATTTCAGGGCTCAATGTTAAGGCCTTTGCTCTTTTTTGATTTACATCTATGATACAGGTGAAGGAATGATCAATAAATGACTTAAATTTGCTGATGACATTAAGGCTGTTTGCTGTGAGGATGAGGATGCTGCTTTACAAAAAGATTTGGATTATTTGATGAATTTAGCAAATAAATGGTAGATGACTTTTGGTCATAATAAATGCAAGGTGATGTATATAGGCTGTCATAATCTGAATTATAAGTATATTTTTGATAGAAATAGCCTTTACACTATAATGGGAGAAAAGGATCAGTCTCTTAAGCCATCCAAGCAGTGTGCTGTATATAGTGGTTGGACAAGTAGGACTTCAGGTTGTATTTATGGTAATACTGAACACAAGTCTAAAAAGGTTATAATATTGTACAAGTTAATGGTTAGGCCTCATTTCAAGTACTGTGTCAGAAATAGACTTTTTACCTTAAGAAGAATGTTGACTTGTTAGAAAGGGTTTAGAGAAGGGCTACTATTAAGATGAAACCTGGATATAAAAATTGTCATACAAGCACAAATTTGGATCACTGAGATGGTTTTATCTTGAAAACAAGGTTAGATGGAAACTGATGGAAGTGTTTAAGAATTTTAAGGGAATTGACAATAATACTGATAGTAATTAGTATTAATTTAATGCATTGGTTTTTTTCACATTAATGGTAAAAATGATAGGACAAGATATGCAAGTATAAATTTTGGTATATTAAAAGTCATCTTCAGCTATGAAAATCTTAATTTTCTAACTAACAGGGTTGAATAGGTTGCCTTCAGATGTGATGGATGCATAAGGGAGTCCAAGAGAAGGTCTAACAAGTATTTAAATGATATGGGCTGGCTTTGAGGGTGTTTTTTTTTAATTGTGTTTAGATTAGTGGATGAGACATCCTCAATTCACCAACAAGCTCCTTGTTCTTGAAATCAAATGTTATAATACAAAAGGTACTACAACAAGCCTCTTAGTCTATAGTATTTACGCTTAATTTGTTAATGTTAGCCTAACCATTACAATTTTTATCCTATTAGTTATAAACGTGTGTACACACTACGTTTACATATACCAAACTTTCATGAGTATATTTTTGAATTTATACTCAGAAATAAACATAAAAATATTTTTATGACTACTACTACTAGTACTAACGTTAGGTCCAAAAGCAGTAGTACTGGTACTAACGCTACACTTATCATCACATTACTTGAATATTCCGCATACTTCAGTAGCCTAACATTGTAATTTGTATTATAACAACCGTAACTTCGAATACCTACTCCCTTTTTTTTAGCCAAAGCACCCAAGCATAAATAACCAAACAATGTCAGTATGTCAGTGGTCAAGATCGGATTTGACTATGAGATGAACGCTTACGCTTTTTACAGATTGCAAACATAGGTTCTAAAGTTATGTATTTAAAAAATATAATAATAAATCTTCTTAAATACTGTAAGGAACTAACTTACTTTTCAGTTCTTTACTAACTTCTGAATTAAGGCCTACTAAAAATTACTTTAATACTAATTTCGTATATACCGTGCTCTCGGTCGAAAGTCAAGCGCTGGATTCACTACGCATGCGTCAAGGCTGTAGCGGCAAGATATATGTACAAGAAAATCAATAGTCACGTAATATTATAAACTATATACTAAGAGAACAGATTAAGCTAACCAGAAATCATCTGGTCATTCTTTTATCAAAACATCAATTTGTAACGAAAAGAAGCTTAAAAAAAGCGAATGATATCTCTAACATCCATAAACATAAAGAACAAAATCTTGAATACTGTAAGTTTATCCTTTATATTAACGATAATTGCAGCGGGGAAAAAGAATAAATATTTATAATTATTATAGAATAATATTGCATTGATATTTTTACTCTAGAACTAAAACACTTCTTTATGCGACAGAACACAATTGGTCCCATGGAACTCACCAGTCCAGTTTAGATTTATCACAATTTCGTTGCCATCAGTATCGGCTCCAGCTTTACTTAGGTGTGTGTATAGAGAAGCGAGAGGAGGGGGAGGTAAAGGATAATACATATAATGGAGTCAAATATAAAATAAGTATAAAATTAGAATCACAGACGGCATTAGTTTTGTGGGCTAACGGTATTTCAGCCCTTTCCCTTGCTAGTATCCTGCTCTGTTTGCCATCATCTGAGCACTTCGAAGGATTAGACGTTGAAATAAGACAAAAAACAAAAAAACTTTTGCATTTCTCTCAGCACAGAAATATTTGCACATTAATCCAAAAGGTATACTTTTAATACGTATTACATTTTATACAAAAAGCTATAATAATTTAACATCTGATGAACAACAGGGGCCTCTTGGTTCATCGTGGCTGTCCTATTCATTTCATCAAACACCAATCTGTCTATTTACAGCCCTAACTCCTCAAGTACTGATCCAGCTCTCTCTTGAACTCTCCCAATTCACCAAATCTGAAAGCATTTCATTCCTAAGGCTGAGTAGTCTGTTCTAAAAACAAAATAGCCTAATTTACTACCCTGCTAAATCCCCTAGTCTTACCACCCTTACTATTAAACACGAAAATATATTATATATCAATCATATCTATTCCTTTTATAATTTAGGACACATTGATCAGATTCAATCTAACTTTTCTCAAGAGAAAATCGTTTTAAGGATCTTAACCTGTCCTCAAATGACAGCTCATCCATCCCAGGGTTCATTATAATAGCCTTCCTTTAAATTATTTCCAAGAACTCAACGTCCTTCTTATGGCAAGGAGCTCAAGACAGAACACAATTCTTTAAATAAGGCTTAAAGTGAGAAGGGTACAAAAAAAGGACAATCTCATTCGACTCATATTCAATATTCCTGTAGATACAGTCCAAATCCTATATGCTTTCACACTGGCAACAACACACAGCGTGGAAGGATTACTGATCAGCCAAAACACAAAGATAATTTAATTTCATAACACTATTGAGTTGATTTCCATCAAAATGGTAAATATAATTTAAAATTAAGGTATTCTACATGTATTATCATGCATACAGCACAATTAAATGAAATATACCATTTATTTGTCCATTTCGTCAAATGACCCAAAACCCTTTGTAAAATAGCAGCATCTACTTC